GAAACAGATCCACCTTTTCCCTTCACACCCTTTAAGTTGTTACCGCTGTAGAACTGCATGCCTGAAGCATCTGTCCATAACTCCAACACTCTTCCCAATTTCTTTTTGTGCAAGAAAGCCATCATTTTCAGTTTTTTGTCACCCTTGAAACCATCAAGCACATAGTTGATATCATAACCGTTCAGTAATTTCTTGATCCTGCTTCTGATGGTGTGAGTTGAGGTGAAAATCATAAGGTATCTTTTCACAGGCACTTTACCAATAAGTATAAACTGGCTATCCACTGGTGTTGAATTTTGGTTTCAATATTTGTTGTATATTTCATTATGAAGATTACAAGAGAGTGAAGGCCACTCTTATAGAGAGCCAAGAAGCAAGCTACAAGAGATTATAGGCTTACTACCCCAACACAATCCCTAAAATCTGCCCTAACAAGTGGAAAAGCCAAAACCAAATTACAAGGAAAGAAGCTTTTACAAGCAACTAAGAAAGGTTGACAAAAGAAAGGTAAGGTGAATGACAAGTTATGGGAAGTCATGAAAGTAGGGTTAAGACCATCACTTTAGCCTATGACTTAGCTAAAGTGAGGATGACAACCCATACATACAACCCATTCCTGAGATCTTATACAAACCGGTTTCAATACACCTCATCAAGCTGGATCAAGGGGATTGATTAATCCAAGCTTGCACAACAAACATTGAAACTGAGTAGAGTCTAGTGCTTTTGTGAATAAATCAGCAAGTTGATCGTGGTTACGTGTGAACACAGCGGCTATCACCTTGGATTGAACTTGAGCATGAATACAATGGCAGTCAACTTCAATATGTTTGGTTCTTTCATGGAATACTGGATTGGAGGCAATGTGCATGGCAGCTTGGTTATCACAATACAAAGACATAGGTGTCATGCTTGTGAATTCGAGCTCGGAAAGAAAACCTTTCAACCATATGAGTTCACAGGCTGTTGCTGCCATGGCTCTATACTCAGATTCGGCACTAGATCGAGCAATAATAGTTTGTTTCTTGCTTTTCCAAGTGACAAGATTCCCTTCAACAAATGTGCAAAAACCTGTTGTGGATTTTCGATCAAGTGCATTTCCAACCCAATCAGCATCTGTGTAGGCCAAAATGTGATTTGATCCATTGTTCTTCATAATTATCCCCCTTCCTATTGAGCCCTTGAGATATCAAAGTATTCTCTTAACGATTTTCCAGTGAACTAGAGTAGGATAGTGCATGAACTGACTAGGTAGGCTAACTGAATATGAGATATCAGGCTTAGTAATGGTGAGATAAATAAGTTTCCCAACCATTCGCTGATAAACACTAGGGTCCGAGAGAGGTTCACCTTTTTCATGCCACTGAAGCTTGCTAGCTAGGGGTGTCCGAGCTGGTTTACATTCCATCATGTTAGCTTCATCTAGAAGATCGAAAACATACTTTCTTTGATTCAAGAACAATCCTTTTGAAGAGGTAGCCACCTCAATTCCAAGAAAGTATTTCAAGGGTCCCAAGTCTTTAATGGCAAATTTTTGGTGAAATGACTGCTTAAGCACCTTGATTTCACTCATATTGTCACCTGTAATAATTAGGTCGTCAACATATATAAGCACAACCAATTTTTCAGCAATACCATTTCAAACAAACAAAGAAGAGTCAGCATGGCTCCTTTTGAACCTTGCAACTTCAAGGACTGAACTAAGCTTCGAATACCAAGCTCGAGGGGACTGTTTGAGACCATATATGGCTTTGTGAAGTCTGCAGACCTTGTTGGATTCATTTTCTCTTGGATGACTAGGAGGCAACTTCATGTACACTTCTTCAAGATCCCCATGAAGATATGCATTCTTCACATCCATTTGGAATAAGGGTCATGCATTATTGACTGCCACAGACAACAATACCCTCATTGTGTTCATTTTGGCAACAAGAGCAAAGGTTTCCCTGCAGTCAATGCCATAGGTTTGAGTAAAGCCTTGAGCTACTAATTATGCCATGTGTATCTCAATGCTTCCATTGGAGTTGAATCCACCTACTTCCCACAGCCTTCTTTCCATTTGGAAGGTCCACCACACTCCATGTCTGGTTGTTATTCAGAGTTTGAAGCTCTTTAGTCATAGCATCTCACCACTCAAGCATGCATGTGGCTTCATGAAAATTCCTTGGTTCAAAAGTGTGGGACAATTTGTTAAGGAAAGAAGCATTAGAAGATGAGAATATGTGATAAGAAATAGCTGCAGAGATATGGTGCCTTGCAATGTAAGTAACGTACTCTTGTAACCTCACTGGTGGATGTCTATCTTGTGTTGGATTTCTTCTTGGTGCACTTATAGCTTGCTGATTTGGTTGAGCTTCTGATGGTTCAGAGGAGCTTGGCACTGCATCAATTACACTCTCAGTGAGTTGAGAACTATCATTGTTGATATGAGCAGGAATGACTTCATGAATTTATGTTGGAATAGGTAGTGGAAATAGGTCCATAAGATCTTCCATATTAGCAGTAGTCTCCAACCCTTTGTGGAAATAAGGTGAATATTCATCAAATCATACATCTCTAGAGACTGCCAGCTTCCCTGTGTTAGGGTTGTACACTTTGTAACCCTTTTTAGAACTGGCGTATCCCATAAACACACATTTGACAGCTCGAGGGTTGAGTTTGTCACGATGAAGAGCTTGAATGTACACATAACAAGTACAACCAAAGGTCCTGAGGTGAAATAAGTCTATAGGCCTGCCCTTTATGACTTCAAAAGGAGATTTAGTATTCAACACCCAAGTTGGCAGTCTATTAATTATGTAAGTGGCAGTGAGTAGGGCTTGAGACCAAAATTTCTTAGGAACATTCCTTTGGATCATAAGTGACCAAGTCTTCTCTAATAAGTCTCGATTCTTTCTCTCTGCCACACCATTTTGTTGTGGTGTATCAACACAGCTAGTTTGATGCAAAATGCCATGATTGCTCAAGTAATTACTCATGTTATTGGAAGTGTACTCGGTGCCATTATCTGACCTTAACATATATAACTTAGATGAAAATTGATTGGTGATTAGGTTGTGAAAGTCTTTAAAAGCATCAAACAAATCATTTTTAAGTTTTAAAAGATACAACCAGGTCACTCTAGAATAGTCATCAACAAATGTAACATAATATCTATACCCATCAAAGGATTCTACACGAGAAGGACCGCAGATATCTGAGTGAACAAGCTCAAAAAGTTTATTAGTTCTAGAATTAAAGGAAACAAAGGAAGTCTAGTGGCTTTTGACATTTGACAAGTTTCACACTCAAGTGTGTTTCTACAAAAAAAGGGAAACAACTTGGTCATCACAGGTTCTGAGGGATGGGCAAGGCGTTGACGCTAGAGTTGGTGTTCCTGAACTTGACTTAAGTTGACACTGAGCTTCTTGACAAAATTGGACTCCTTTGAAAGATAGTAGAGTCCGTTCAAGAATAACCCTTCACCAATCTTCTTCTGAGTAACTCGGTCCTGAAACACAACATTGTGAGCTGAAAATATGGCAAGACAATTAAGTTTTTTGTGATTTTTCCTATTGACAAGAGCTGAAAAGGAAAATAAGGTACATATAGAGTAGTGGAATCAGTATGCTCACTTAGCAATCTAACCTTTCCTTTCCCTAGAATAGGTTCCTCTTTCCCATTTGCAACAAATACATGATCAATGGATCTTTGAAATTTGTGGAGACTAGAGGGTTTATTAGTTATATGATCAGTGGCACCAGAGTCAATAATCCAAAAATCATGTGTAACATTTTCCTTAAGAGCAGTGGAAATGGCATTGATAATACCTAGAATATTGCCTTTTGATGTGTTCTCCGAGTTAGCCAAGAATCCAGCAAATTTCCCTAGCATTGCAATAGGGTTTTCAGGCGTCATTTCATCAGGCTCAGTGCTTCCTTGTTTTTTTTTTAAGAAAAGCAGCAAACTCGTTGATCAAGGACACATGATTTGTTGAGAAATTAGCCATCCCATCAATTAAGGAACAAGCTGAGTGAAATGCTTTTGGAGTGACTTCTCCCTTCCCATCTTTGATCATCCTGCCTTTCCTATCAAACTTAGGCTTTAACTCCAGATGAAGAATCCAACATTTTTCTCTTAAATGTCCCTTTATGTTGCAATAAGAACATTTCCAGTCTGCTTTCTTCCCAAGCACCCTATCACCAGTTGCTTTATGATTTGTCGTGAAAACCCTAGCCTTAGAGTTGGATTTAGGCTCAACGTTCATCACTCTTCATTGAGTTTCCTCTCTCTAGACTGCATGACACACACTAGTAAAGGAGGGCAACTCTTGAATCATTAACAAATGACTACACAGGTCTTCATACTCAGCTCCCAAGCTTGCTAAGAGTTGAAACACCTTATCTTCATCAGCCCTCTTCAGTAGCACAGCAGAATCAGTCGTGTGTGGACAATACATATCAAGTTCATTCCGTATGGATTTCATACTTCCAAGGTGTTGAACAAATGAGTGATCACCTTACTTTAAACTAGCCACACTCTTCTTCAGTTGAAAGATGCGAACTGAGTTGTTTTGGCTGCCATACATGTCTTTGACAAACTCCTATAGGAGAAGGGAAGTCTCTGAGTAGCTGAAAAGCTCAGACAATTTTGGCTCCATTGAGTTAAGTATCCAGGACATGACCAGCTGATCAGTAGCGTGCCATGCATCATAGGTTGGTGAAGTGGATTATGGGGGGCTCAGAGCTTCCATTGATAAACCCTAGCTTCAATCTTCCTCCTAGAGCAAGTGACACAACTCTTGACCAAGGAAGGTAGTTGACATCGTTCAATAGCATCGAGCAGAGTCGTTGATTTGGATTGTTCTCACCCCCTTGGGTTAAGTTTGGGGAGGAGGATGAGGCACTGTTGGCACTAGACGCATTTTCTTCTGCCATCTCTATCGATGATGAGCAAATGAAGAAAAAAACGAACAGAGTCAGGACCCTATAGTTCCTGCTCTGATATCATGTTGAATTTTGGTTTCAATATTTGTTGTATATTTCATTATGAAGATTACAAGAGAGTGAAGGCCACTCTTATAGAGAGCCAAAAAGAAAGCTACAAGAGATTATAGGCTTACTACCCCAACACAATCCCTAAAATCTGCCCTAACAAGTAGAAAAGCCAAAACCAAATTACAAGGAAAGAAGCTTTTACAAGTATCTAAGAAAGGTTGACAAAAGAAAGGTAAGGTGAATGACAAGTTATGGGAAGTCATGAAAGTAGGGTTAAGACCATCACGTTAGCCTATGACTTAGCTAAAGTGAGGATAACAACCCATACATACAACCCATCCCTTGAGATCTTATACAAACCGGTTTGAATAACTGGTGTGACATGGAACCCGAATATCTGCACATAGTGGTGTAAAATGTTGCTGTTGTTGTAACCACTTAGGTTCCAGAAGGCATGGTGGACTAGATTCACTGGAGTAGGCTTGTTTAGAGCTGTGGCTTTCCTTGTTACAATCATTTGGTTGTTTCGAACGAGTTTGTACATCACAGTGACAAGGAGATCAACCGGAAATGCTTCTTCGCCATCAAAGCTGTGATGGAGAATTGGATGCTAGGGTTAGCACTATGGTTCATATCTTTTCGCTTTCCAAAAAACACGACTGAATCCTCTTGGACCAACATGAACCATGTCGTTGCCGTCATTTGGAACTAGCTTATAACGGGTTCCATTCATCGTAAATGCAGCACCATGTATCCTGTTAGCAACCCGTCCAACAATTGCACCGAAGGGAGAGGAAGTGTTCATGTAATCCTTGACTGAATTGAACCCTAGGACAATGTCAGGCAGCTTTCCATTTTTGTCAGGGGTTGAAAGTGATACTATAGATGCACCCCAGTTTGTACAATTCACAGAGAAATTTCCTTTCCCAAGTTATAAAACCCCAACCTTCACCTTGGCCAGAGAACCGTTGACAAACCCAAAAGCTAGTAGGAGGAAACAATGCTGCATGGAGATCTTGGTCATTTTTCTTCAGAAAACAGAAACAGTTAAGATCAAGATCTTTCGATCGTCCCTGAGGGAACATCTGGAGAGCTATTGCGTTATATTAAAGAGCAAGAGCCATTAAGGACTAAGCATTTAAATCAAGAATTAAAAGAGTATAAGTTTCTGTCTGTCCTCTACTAATTTGAAGTAATTAGTTCTGGAGTTCCTTTAAAAATTTACGGAGCATCTATACTTCTCTTTGTTTCTCCCCTTCCTTTTTACTCTGCTTTTTCATTATCACATAAATAATTCGAGACAGATGGCCTAAAATCTGGAGGCATTATAATCTGTATCAAGGCTTTTCATGCTGCAGGATGCAAGAAGCAAGGACATTGAGGATGTGCTGATTCTATCCGGAGATCATTTGTATCGAATGGACTACTTGGACTACGTTCAAGTAAGGCGAAACATTTAGTTTTTCTTCAATTGAAAACATTCAAAAAGTCAATTCTCAAATACATCAAAACTTACCTCTCAATTCACCGCAGAATCATAGGCAGAGTGGCGCCGATATTACCATTTCTTGTTTGCCAATGGATGACAGGTACGCTTGCGCAACACATCTCTTTTGAACTCTGATTTCAGTTACAACTATTGCTCATCAACCTTATTGGACTTTCCTCTCTTTCACTTATAGCCGAGCCTCAGACTTTGGTCTGATGAAGATAGACAAGAAAGGAAGGGTCCTATCATTCAGCGAAAAGCCTAAAGGAGATGACCTGAAGGCAATGGTAATACTCATGCTTAAGCTACAATAATCTGAATTGGTATTGGAATATGAATACCTGTATGCTGAATTTGCTACAAACATCAATCTGCAGGCAGTAGATACGACCGTTTTGGGACTTTCGGTGGAGGAAGCTCTAAAGAAACCATACATTGCATCCATGGGAGTGTATGTCTTCAAGAAGGAGATACTTCTGAATCTCTTAAGGTGCTAATCATATATGAATTATGATTTATAAATAAAATTTCACATTTAAGCGGACAAACAAGCACCCTATGTTAAAAAAATTTGAGAAAACTACACTAACTGTTCGAGTCAGATGGCGTTTTCCGACAGCAAATGACTTTGGATCAGAGATAATCCCTGCCTCAGCTAAAGAGTTCTTCATAAAGGTCGGTATCAAATCTCTCTCTGAGAATTTTATATGTGAATTTGAACTCACTAACCTTTGGTTTTCACTTAGTATTTTGGCTCTGCCTTGGAGAGTTCACTCAGCATTCCATGACGTTTCTTTGTGTAAAACCGCTGCGCAGGCTTATCTCTTCCATGATTACTGGGAAGACATTGGAACCATCCGATCCTTCTTCGAGGCCAACCTTGCCCTCACCGAGCATGTAAGTACAAAGCTGATCCTCCGAATGGTGTGCTGTTTCCATTGTAGCAGTCTAGCAGAAGAAGCTTCTACTTTCACAGATGGAATCTAACACGCGTTTATTTTTTTGTACCTTTCAGCCAAATAAGTTTAGTTTCTACGATGCAGCAAAGCCGATGTATACTTCAAGGAGAAACTTACCTCCATCGAAGATTGACAACAGCAAGGTTGGCAGCTGTCTTTCATTTGCACTTGAATCTCCCTGAAACACGTACAAATATAAAACATGCCTCCTCCTTGTCCAGATTGTTGACTCCATCGTATCACATGGAAGTTTCTTAACTGACAGCTTCATAGAGCACAGCGTTGTCGGTATCAGATCACGAATAAACTCCAATGTTCACCTGAAGGTTTGTCTCATAAATTCCGAAGAATATTAATCTCAACCTGTTAATGCAACAACACAAAAGAGTAATTCAAACGGAGGTTGTCAAAACGCACGCAGGATACAGTAATGCTCGGCGCTGATTACTACGAAACCGATGCTGAGAGAGTGTCACTGTTAGCTGAAGGAAGAGTTCCCGTCGGAATTGGAGAGAATACAAAAATCAAGTACAAGCTGCTTAAACCTCCCTGTCTTTTATGAGTTTTACAGTGTTCAACAAAATTATTTGCTTATCATGGCTCTTGATGTCATGTGCAGAGACTGCATCATCGACAAAAACGCGAGGATCGGGAAGAACGTTGTTATTGCAAACTCGGAGGTACGACGTGCCCGCTGTTATTAGTTACCTCTAACAATCAACGACTGTCAATCACCAACACGCGTTATTCTAGTTTGTTCTCATTGTTTATGCATGAAATTGCAGGGCGTACAGGAAGCTGACAGATCGTCGGAAGGGTTCTACATCCGCTCGGGTATAACCATCATATTGAAAAATTCAACCATCGTCGATGGACTTGTGATCTGAAACATCCATCCGTCCTTCTAGTTTATGGGTATACCAGGAAGGAACTAAAAGAGAAAATGCAATAGGAATCAACATATATACTCATGTCAGTAGAGCAAGACAGTCATGATGCGGATGTGTATAAACCTTGTTATTTTGTAAACATTAAGCAGCTATAAGCAACTCTGCCATTTCTTTCTTCCTAAAATAACACAATCAAGTAACAACTCCCGTGCACCCTAATTCTGTCAATCCACTTTCGAGAACGAGTTATGATTCATTTGAAATGTATGCGTGTACAGAAAACGACATATGCAATTTTCCACATCGTTGTTTGAGAGGACAATCTTGTCCATCAAACGTTAAGACAGTGTATTACTTATGGTCACTTATGGTCCAAAGATTTATATATTCCTGAAACCCGAAGATAAGGAAAAAGGACTGAACAAGCATATGCAAATGTGGTTATGCTATGAAGCATTTGTGATTGCATTGTGGTTTTCCTTCCGCAAGGAAAGTGATACATAATCTACTCCTTAGAGCCACAGACTAAGACTTACACTGGTTCTATACAATTAACTCTTCACAGTTAAACATCAATTCATTTTCATATTTTTGCAAAACAAACCGCTCCTCTGACATTATAATGTTGGTAACGGAGCATTTCTTGTCTGAAAACGGTTTCCTACCTGTTCTTCCAGCTCGATGAAGATAATCAACAGCAGTTCTTGGCAGATCAAGGTTGTATATATGAGTAGTGTCTGGCAGGTCAACCCCTCTGGCTGCTATATCTGTTGACACAAGAAGATAGCTTCCTCCTTGTCTGACTTCCTAAATTAAGTAAATAGATACATCAGAAGATTTCCACTCGAAATTATTGCATACAAAAGACCAAGAGTAAATTGTCGCATAAATGGAAATTTTGGATGCTTTCAAGAGGTAAGTCGGAAATTGAAAACAGAAACTGCATTTCTGTTCAGCATTCCGTTAGAACTAATATTACTTTCGAGGAATTGAAGTTATTGAACATGATTTACTGATTCAGACCAGAAGAGAAAAGCATATAACTTACCGATAGAGAAGCTGCTCGTGAATTGAAATTCATGTCTTCTTCCAAAAGGAGGATGTATGAATATCCCTCGTATGAAGCCTTCAGGAAATCAATTAAAACTGTTGTTGATGGAGCATTTCCAGCCTTCTTTGACTTCTCAGACTGACCAAATAGATAAGAACTACATATTACTAGAATGGATAGCCCATCTATATAATTCGAAAAATGAACTTATATTATATCAACAATTACAGATTATAAGTTTTAATTTTAAGTACATCTCTAGCACTCGGTCGGTCACATATGAACCATGCCTAAACGACATCTTCATGAGGTTTACCTTCTGGGTAAACCGTTGATACAATTATGAACTATGTATGCTACTAAAGTTTGAATCAGATTCATGCCCAGCTTCAGCATAAGATCATACGATTACTTCACCATGAAAAATAAAGTTACAAAGAAGGATATGCGATGTAAACCTGCTCGCCAACAAAAATAATAGCAGACTGTGGCGCGTCTGACTGTATTAAGGACAGCAAGGTCTCATTCCTTCTGATTTTACGGCATATCTGTCAAGTATGAACAGAATTAGCATCTTCGAAATAAGAACATTATGAACATAGATGTCTCTTATGCAATGTCATGATGACAATTGTTGAAAAAAAAGTATCAAAGCAGATGTATAGATGATTTAACGACAGGTAAACCAGAAAGCAGGATGGAGTGGGTTGCATATTTAAGAAATTTCTTACCACAAATCTATGCTGTAAACATGGTGGCATAGGCTGAACTGGATTGACATGGACATGAATTGCATCACTCTGTAAAATACGCACATAATTTTATATGAAATCTGTATAATGTTGATACGAAACTAGAACTATATCAACAAACCTTGGTCCATTTCTGCTGTATACAGTCATGTAAAAATCGTCTGTGCTGAGGGATGGAAGCACTGGCAAAAACAGTCTGTCGGGTATTGATTGAAGAGTAGGATGTCAACAGCTTCCGAAGAGAAGCGACTTGTTTGGAACTGAACATGAAGTCAACCTAAACAAACAGCAAATATAAGGCATTGTACATTCAATAGCATTTTCAGACAACCTTGGTTAGCCTTTTGGACAATACATTACTCTACTCATATAACAACTCATCTAGCACACAAAACTACCTCATCAATTACCAGCACTCGCATCGATTCAAGCTTAATCATCTGCTTCTCAAGCATTTGGCACAAACTCCCAATTGTTGCCACCACAATAGTAGGGGGCTCCGCCTGAGACAACATTTAAGCACCGAATAAAGCACATTACTAAAATACAATATTTCTTCGTAACATAATACAACTGCAGAAAACCTAAATCATTGCAAACATGTAAAACGAAACTAAAATGCGGCACCTTTAACCAACTCTTGTGCCTGGTCAACATTCCCCCATCTAAAAGAGCCATAACAGTACACGATTTCTTCTCCACTTCGCCTTCCTTAGGCTTCGCAGCCAACGTCCTAGCAACCTTCGTAACCTTGCTTATAAAGCACACGTAAATTCATCTTCTTAAACTCACTTAAACAAAATAATCATACATTACACCATACTAAGTGCAAATTACAGGCATTTTTTAATCAGTACCAGAGAACTTAACAACAAAAGACTTACTTGCATCCCAAGTTCCCTAGTGGGAACCACAACGATAGCTTGAACAGCCGATCTCCGAGTGTTCACAGCAGAAAATATCAAAAGCAGGTACGTCAGCGTCTTCCCAGAACCTGTCTAATTACCAGAAGTCACATAACAAGATTCAAACTTGGATACCAAAACACACCTATGACACCAAAGGGTCTACGAATTTTGACCTGCGCGTGAAGTATGCAGTCGCGGCCGGAAAACAGAGTCGGCAGAGCCTGCCGCTGTACGGGCGTCGGGACAACGAACCCCAATTCCTCCATTCTTTTGATCACGTGGTCGGGCACGTGGGGTTGGCAAATGCGGCGGAGAGTGAGGGGTTCTTGTTCGGAGTCGGCGTCGTTGGCGATAAGGGGAGTGTTGAGAATGGCCTGTAATGGCCCACAGTTGGATACGACGTCGTTGGAGGAGAAGAGCCTACGGTTAGGGTTTAGGAATTGAAAGGGGAAATGGGCATGGCGAGATTTTTGAGTTTGAAGAGGGAGCGGAAGATGGAGCAGCTGAGTAGCTGAAAGTGTAGCCATTGACGGAGACTCAGTGAGTCACTGACTCGGTTCGGTCTCTCTCCCTTTGTGGCCGGCCGATTATAGAGGGAAAATAACGTCTATAAGCACCAAAATGCAACGGCGTCGTATCCTGTGTTTGGACGGTGTGCGGTTGGAGTTGTTGGACGGTCATTCCAATGACGAGCTATTACTCTCTAAACAAATGGACCTTTGCATTAAGGCCCTCACACTTATTGTATTTCTTCCATAGTCCTTTCAACTTTCAAATTTTCATTCTCTCACTGAAAAATTAGCATATATATCATTCAAGTTATCTAGATTAGTTATTTGAGCAAACGTTGGTTTGAAATTTAGAAGGGACTAACAAGTCATCTAAATTAACTTTGTAGAGTCTTTCAAAAGCTTATTATTTTAGGACTGTATTTCCAAGTTAAAGTCATGAAACTTCGTTTGTCTCTCATTTGATGTTAGGTGAGATGGCACTTAGAATATCGATCTCACTAGTAAATCTTCTATAAGAAAGTTGAAGTATTTTAGCAATTGTCTTTACTTGCCCACGTTACTTTTGGTCAAGTTACTTGTTCAAATTGAAAATACAAAATTTGATAAAATAAATCGAAGCATTCCTTTGAGGCTGTTTTTTAAGAAATACATCTGCGTATAACTACTTATTTTTACTATGTGTTGATCCAATAACCAAAATTATGTGAGGGCTATTAGATAGAAAATATATTATTGGCTTAAAATTTAAAATTTTGTGGCTTAAATTTTGAAATCTGTAAGCCAACACCATTGAAAATGGTCTAAACACTTTGAAATTCAAGTACTTCATGTTCTTGATAAGTGTTTTTTAAAGAATCAGTTGACGTATACCTTACAAAAAACCTTATACAAGCTAGAAATACTTTTAAAAAATTTAGTATTTTGGTAAGAAAATTGCAAAAGTAGTGGTTTTGTTAGCAAACTTTCCCTTGCACAACAATAAACCAAAACAAAAAGGAGGAAATGATAATTAGAGAATATAGAGATTGATGATATATTATTCAACACAAGTATTTGGTTGATTGATTCCATCAAGCCAAAGCGTGTGAATCGGTGTTTAGCTTTGTTGCTGCGTTTTCTGATCCTTTTTCATTTTTCTCCTCCCAAAAATACTTTACTTTGACCCTTTACTCTTTCATTCCCCACCAACACATTTTCTAGGGTTCCCTTTCTTCCTCCTCCTCACACCATTCCCCCTATTTCCTCCATTAAAATCACTCTCCCTCGGTCCCTCTGCACCTCTCTGTCTCCCTCCACATTGCTCAAAAATGGCGTGTTTCGCTCCCTCTTCTTCTCTTAATCCAAAACTCATCTCAGCTCCCCCGTCTTCCTCCCCGGATCTTCTCGACGACTCGTATGAAGACTGCTGCAGCATCTGCCTCGAGCCGTTCAACTGCGACGACCCGGGCACTGTATGATTCTTCAAAACCTGAAAAGCTTTTGAATTTTTGTACAGCTCAGTGTTTTGTGCGTACCCAACTGACAGTATTTACTGGGTCAGTCTCGTAATGCTGATTGTGATTGCTAATGTAAATGGTCGAAATCGGTTTTGATAGTCTGATTTCGAGTTCTTATGTTCGCTTTTGCAGTTTCTCTTGTTTTGGTAGCTGAAATGAACTGTGATCTACGGTCAATTCTGATAATTGGTTTCTTTAGCTAGTTTTCGGGGTTCTTTCAGTGTCTGGGAAACTTGGTTGATGGAAAAACAATGTAATCTTGTGTTTGATTAATGTATATTGTTATCATAAAGCATGATGATTCATTGAAGTATATCCTTTATTAATACAATCTTTCGGTTTCCTTGGTGGGATTTGATGGAATAAACGGGTGGGAATGCGCAAAGATTTAGATTGCAAGTGTTTTTGAGAACCAAATTGGACTTCCATCTTTTTCTCTATATGTTTTTGAAATATAAAAGAAGTTTCTGCGATAAGAGGATCTGCAGTGATGGTTGTGATCATGCTAAAGTTATTTCGCAAAAACTAGATATCTTGTATTTGCTGTTGTACCAGATCTCTATAGCACAGAATGGATAGTAAACAGCCCTTGTTGTAAAATATGTGCTGTCTGCAAGTATTGCACTCATAGATTCAGACGTTTATCTGAGTGTTTTAACCCTGAAAATTTCTCCTTGTTTCAGATAACCAGCTGCAAACACGAATATCATCTTCACTGTATATTAGAATGGTAACCCCACTTTATATATAGGTTATGTCTTTTTTATGGCCAAAGGATACATTACTTCCATCCTCCACGGTCTACCCATGAAAATTGTAATTTATTGTTTCTTAATTGTAAATGGTTTTTCTTATTAATCTTGATATTCTTTTAGGTCACAAAGAAGTAAAGAATGCCCAATTTGTTGGCAGTCATTTTCCCTGAAGGATCCTGCTTTGTATGTAACTTTCTCTAGTTCATGCATGTGCTACTTCTTGATTGCTTTCCGTTATGTTTCAATTAATTTTTTATTCTCTGTGTAGCCAAGAGCTTCTTGCTGCTATACAAAATGAGAAGAACTCAAGGTCAAGAAAAACATCTTCCATGGCACCCCAAACATATCATTCATATGAGGAGTTTGATGCTGAGCACGTGAGTTTTTATAATAAATTTTGTATACTTAATTTTTCTTGCTGATAACGGGTCTTTCGTTGACAGCAAACTTGAACTTTTCAGGAATCTTTGTCAGATGACTCCGATTTGGATGAGCGCATCATGCAGCATCTTGCTGCCGCTTCTAGCAGAGCTCGTAATGCTCGCAGAAGGGAAAGACAGAGATCATCTGGGCTAGGTCCTTCCTGTGTTTTTGTTTTTTCCAATCATGAAAGTGTGCCTGGTTTCCAGGAAACATACCCAACTTCTCCAGAAGATTCGCCAACTTCTCAAAGACCATCTATTATTCAATCTCCACTGTCTTTTATCTGCAGCACTGCTGCCAATAGTGATATCCATTACATGCCGAGGTTTGCACCTAAGGCCAAAAGTTATTCCCCAATGTGGACGCACATAAATTTTATTTTATTCTAATACATACACAAGAAGTGGATATATGTTACTGCCTTGTCCTGATCACCTGGAATGTAGTTTGCAATATAGTATGAAGTGCATATATAGAAGGTGTTATCTCATGGCACATGAATATGATTTAAGCTTGTTTCGTCATCTTTGTTGTCTATAGTATTCATCTCTTCTTTTTATCTTCCGGTGGCTTACTACTTCTTGGTCATTCCAGAGTGATTTATGGCCAGCCATCACCTGATGGTCCACACAGACCAAGCCCATCCGAGACTATCAATTTCCCTGATTCTATCAAATCCAAGTTGTCTGCTGCATCAGCCAGGTAGAAATGCTACTGCTATACTTCACTTTGAAGTTGATGCTGACTCCTTTCTTATACACATGTTTGAAAATTGTGAAAGATACAAAGAGTCAATCTCAAGAAGCACTCGAGGCTTTAGGGAAAAGCTACTTGCTCGTAACAACTCAGTCAAGGAGATGACCAAAGGGGTTCAACGTGAGATAAGTGCAGGAATTGCTGGTGTTGCAAGAATGTTTGAGCACCTCGACCTTACTCCAAAGAAACCTGGAGCCCCTTCTCCTGTTTCTGCCCACAGCGGAGGAGAAACTTCAAACTTTTCCTGCAAGGGAAAAGGTGTGCTAGAGAATGTTATTGTTCATTCTTGTAGTAACAGTGGGAGAGTTGCTGATGAAAGTTCAGATGCACCGTCACGTCAAAGCTGCTACAGCAGGCCCAGTTGAAGTCTCTTCTGCACAGGTTCTATAAATTGACATTTTGTACCATTTTTCTATTGATTAATTGCTGCTAATAATATTGAAAGATGAAACTACGTTTCAAAATGTAGAAGCAAAAATCATTTCATTCGTCCAACTTTATTTCCCTTTGTTTAACGTGTAAAGCAACACCTAACAAAAACCTGCTTTGCTACAGAGCGGACACTGTTGCCGTATGGAGTTTGGATTTGGCTCATCTCCAAATCGTTTCTGTTTTACCTCTCAAGCGTAATGAATGTGTTTTACCCTTCAAGCATTAGGCACCTCAGCAAGTGACGTTATGTGACGAGCCACACGCCGCGGGTTGGTTTTGCGTCCTGCTCATTGCCCATTTATGTAGTGTGAAATAGAAACCACCGTTCATTGTTGATGAGTTATTTGTCCACCCCCTTCACATTTTCCCTTCCTTTGTAGCTTAGTTGGTAAGCATTAAGTGGATTCTGGGGGAATTCCTGCTACCTAACAGTTGTCTCAACTGTTCAAACTTACTTAATATACGTGTCCTGCGTTTTGTTTTTATTTTTTTTTGTTAGTCCTGAAGCTACCAATATAATTAGTTAAGTGATTTGGATGGCACAACAGAGCACCGCCCAACACCCGCGCAACTCCCATCATACGAAATGAGTTTAACGATCAATTATGAAACCCTTGTCAAAAGAGGATGAACCGAAAGAGCTATACACCAAATGTGGGCGCAACGAACCAGCGAAAACTTACCTGGAGGATACACTAGGAATGCATTAAAAAAAAACAGTTGGACTGGAGAATGTGATTGCATTATATGGTAGGGGTCTCGGGTCCAATATGACCTAGGAAACAAAGGTAAAGATGCTAATGAAAAGGGCCCAAACCAGGAGCTTTTCATAAAAATGAACAGTACCAGAAGCTTTTCGTTAAAGTTCCCTAAAACCATAGCATCCGAAAACTTCATGCCGAAACTCAACAGAATTCAGTTATTAAGGATACAAATGGATGACATGTCTCATCATGGATCGAGCACCGTGTAAGTCGTCTCAATAACTATCAAAACTAGATCTGCCCCAAAATGACGTCCCCGCCAGAAACCTTGAAGTCTGATGGCACTTCCTCCACATTTAGAGTTTTCACCTTCCCGTCGACCACATATGCTGACCATCTGCATAAAGAGAGCATAACTTTCTTCAAAACTGAAATTTTTATGGCTATAGTAAGATAGATTGTGGATAAAACCGAGGGAGGGTGACCCTTGAAATTATTGGGAAAAAAGGGATTATGTGGATAAAAGGACTAAAGAACAGTCCACGGATAAAAAACCGCATCCGATGCAATATACCCATCTAGGTTTTATTCAATAAATTCCCCTTTGTTTCTCCAAAACACTCAATTACAAAAAAGTACACAAATAAAACCGATGATGATTATACCTTTGAGAGCGATGTCCAAGCAAGGCACCGCTGAGATCTTTATCCAATTCCAAGCTTTTGTGGAAGCTCCCATCGAAGTCCCCATAGAACTCAATCTATTTAGCCAAATTTCAAAAAGTGAAAAAGATGTTGCAAGAATTTACATTCAAACAATAAAGCACTGTTGCTACACTTTGAAGGAATTGCCAAATGCGATTTTTATGATGTACAAGCAGACGGAGTTATCAAGCTGAACCTACTTGCGTTGAGACTAACATAGTAATTTAGAAAAGAAAAATTCGCAAAACATAAAAACCTCGATTGTTCTCCAAGTAGTTAGCCTCGAGACTGACTTGTGAACTCTTATAGGCTATAGCCGCTTAGTACAAGGAGCTAAAATTTAGAAAGTAGTTTTAGAACTGATGATCCAGACATCCATCTATCTACTTTTGGCTCCAAATTCAAGTCACTAAGAGCGGCGCAATCTACAAAGTTACTTATTTCCGTAAATCAGAAGAAGGCACTTGATAAAGGGAACACTTACAGCTTCTTTGGCTTCGAGTTTGGTTGCCCAGCCATTCATAACATATGGATCATTCACAGCTACGCAAATCACAGAATCGACCCCTTTGGCCTTAAACTTATCAATCTGCTTCTTGTAACTAGGCACGTGTTGCACAGAACAAACGCCGGTGAAGGCGCCCTGACATATTGAAAACAAAATACCCACTTGAATTCCTCTTCTAGGAACTCACAAAATTCATAAATTCAATGCTTTTGATTCATAATTTACTCAATTTTTCGGTGTTTTACTGACCCTAAATTTGGCATTTCTCACTAGCATATTAAATTACATCAAACCCATGATATAAACAAAGAGATTAACTTACAGGGAGCCCAAAGATGACGACTTTCTTGCCCTGAAAACACAAATTTCACAAAATTTTCAGCCTCCAAAATCTTGAAATTTTACTGAAACCAGATTGTTAATAGAAAAATTAAACACATAAATGAAAAATGAAACCTTGAAAATGTCTTTGAGAGGAGTGGTGGCGAAGTTGGAGGAGACGCCTTCGTCCCAGGTGCGAGCTTTCTGGAGGGAAACATTGGGTGCGGCGGAGACTAGGTCGGTCCCGACTGCAGCGGCCGCGTAGGCTCTTGATTGAGCTCCGATTTGGAAGCCTCCGACCACTGATTTCATTGCGGAGAAGCTCGTTCGCTTCAGAAGTGTGGACGCCATTGCTGAGTGCTGAGCAGTTGAGTCGACTCACTGAATTTTCGTTTCGCTTTGTTGGTAAGTTGTTCCACAATTAGAGGAAGGAATCGTCTACGCGGATGGAATGGTGACCTATCAGAGCGTAGCGCCCCAAGTTTACGGTCTGTACGGTCTTACTCACTTGGGCCTCTCGTCTGGATCTTTCATGGGCCGAAACATAATCCGACGCCATTCTGCTCTTGGGAATGGGAAGTGATTTTTATTCAGCCTCCCATTTTCTCCTCTGCACTCCTAGGTTTGTTTCTGTCCGTCTATTTTGCCTTGAGTTTGTAAACCTTACGCTATTTGGATGAAATAAATAAATTTGAAATTTTGGTAAAAGTCAAAATTTATAAATTGACATGCATCAATTCTCTTGTTTGGATTCATAAACATATAAATTTAGAATTTCCGCGTGAAAAAAAAACTTGGAATTTGGGACCTCCAATTCCCAAGTTCAAATTCCATGTAAATATGTGTCATTTCCCAATTTCTATGATTCAGAGTTTAAAAATAACAAATTCATTATTCAATTCCATTGTTATTTTAGATTAACCAAACAAGAAAATTTACAAATTATAGAAAATAAAATCTTGTCATTTCAATTTCCGTCATTTTAAAATTCCTTAGTAATCTTAAATTTCTTCATCCAAACATAGTGAAGTTAAGAAAAAGGAGAGGAATAATTCAGTACTACGGTATAAAAATATTCTTTTTCACTTGTAAGTAAGAGATATTATATTTTAAATGTACAAAAAAAAAAAAAAAAATTTGTCACGTGGCACAAATTTGGTAGCTACGTTAGTACAAATGTAGATCCCATATTTGCCACATAATCACTTAACTGATTTTCTAACGGATGTATGAAATTGAAATAATATGGATCCCTTTTTTTTTTTTTGAACAATCGATATTATCTACACTAAGGGGAGAGGCTAGGCTTAGCCTCACAATGGTTTAGGTTCAATTTTCATCAAAGGCAAATTTAAACTACACTATTTCTAGTCTTAATTAACCCCTCCCCCCCACCCTTTAGTGTAGATAATATTGTTTGCTCAAAAAAAAAAAAAAAAAAAGAGAGGAGAGGAAGAGTGCAAGAAAATCACTACTTTCAATTAGAATAATTCATTTTCGAGATTGGATTAAAACAATTTATTTTTTGAGTTTGTATTTTAACCAGGAAAATATTTAGGTCCTCACATGTAAAAAGTCATTCATCCTTGTAAACAAATCATAGTTTGCTATATGCAAGGGCTAATGTATTCATGGATCTCGTTGGTCTCGAAACAACCTGGAAGTCCAAAGAAGCACCTATAAGGACCTTTGAGGGCCACCAATGGTCTGGCCAGGTGGTGGCAGAGAATGGTTGTGCAAATGTTTTGCAATAGAAACTTTGAACCAAGAAGAAGGATTTAATTTCAGACGAAGAGGAACAAAGAGAAGATCACCATGGCTTTATTTTTCTTGGACCTTGGTTCCAACAAAGAAGAAAGACGTTCTCTCCATTTCCCACGTGGCCAACTCCTCAATTTTTTTTAATTGTTGTTCAATCAGGTTGTGTCATCTAACATTTTAATTAATAGGAGAATGATGTATAACTCAATCAATACTTTTTAAACCACATATTTGACACCGTTATTTTCTTTTAAGTCACTATGAATTCATATGACTCAAAAAACTATTTCATAAAGTACATTAATTATGATCACCTGATGCTAAAATCTTGGATCCGCCATTGGCATACAGTGCATAAGATTTTTCTTGATTAAATGATTTAGATGTACTTTCGCATATGTTTCAGATCCGTGATTAAAGAGACTTTTGGCAAACGCTAAGAGCAATTCCACCCCTAAGACTGGGTGTGTTGGAGATATGCCCTGAAAAGTCAATCTTTGGAAGAAACCTTTCAGGACAAAGAATGAGTGTATAGATGACTCTTATACATCAAAGGGCAAAGATACTAATTAGGACTGTCTCAATAAACGATATATGTCCTAAATAGTGAATCCATGGACAATGGATCGATGGAAGAAGTAATCTAATGATGTTAGACTACAAAGACCTTCTTCACATAACCATCATGTCCAAAAAGGTTCCTGGTTATAGGATTGTCAGAGGGATACTGACAATGCATAGACTAGTACATACTATGTCCCCTTCAATTGGAAGGATGGAAAGTCTCATCTCATTCGTATAGTGACACTAAGACAGGTATGTAGGTGCTCATTATGGGAATGAGTTCACTGAACACAATCGAACGAGAGTACTTTCATGGAGGTCTACTCACATGTCAAGCAAGTAACTCTAATGGTTGGAATAATGTAAGTAATCCTTTGACCTGAGACATCATAGTTGTCTTGGGGATATGTTACTGATCATTTTGATAATGAGACGTGACCACACCTCATCTTGGGTGTGTTCTATGCATTGTTGGGGTCAGTGATTTATTCTCAGAGGCATGTGAATAATCAACAAGGGATCTCTAATCCTCGTTATGAGAGGATGAATACTCTAAGATATGATTCGGGAATCTTCGGCCGAAGTATCGAGCGTAATAAAGGAAAGTGTTCCTATACGACTCAATTGAATCATATAACATGGAATAATCACATTAGGGGTTTGACATAATATATACATACCTTAATAATGTGATTGAGAGTATTGTTTTAGAGAATGATCGAATTACATTGTAATTCCAACTGAATAGGTTCTCCGAACAAATTCTACATTAGCTTGGGTAGCCATGATATATGGTTAGATGTCACTCATGGCTTGTGAATTCTTCTAGATGATTAAATAAGTAGTCGTCAAAGAAGAAGGAGAATTAAAAGTAAGTTTTAATTCACTAAGTGATTGGATTAAATATAATCAATTGGATTGGTGCCAATCACTTCACTACCTTGCTAATTAGAACCTAAAATGATTGTACACCGATACACTCTTGTAATGAGACAACTAATGGATGATGGAATAAATTAATTGGATTAATTAAGTGTCATGATTAATTAGAAAGTCTAAAGAAATCATAGAAGCGATGAAAGATCGTTTTTGGACTTAAAGAAAAGTTCGGGTTAATATGGGCCCATTAAGCCCAAATCCATTGGGCTTTTATTTAAGCATAGGATGACTTGAAATAATAAAAGCCCAAAGCCCAAACAACACTAAAGGGGCTGGCCAAATAAAGGGAGAGAGAGGGAGTCAAGTTGTTGGCTAACTATCTTTGAGATATAAAAGGAACTTTTAGTAAAAAGTTTCATTAGGGTTTTGTGTGTTCATTTTTCACAAAAGAAGAAAACATCTCTCTCCAAAACACACACAAGGCCGGCCACCATAAGGGAGAAGTAGCTAATCATCTTCTCTTCCTTTTGGTTATTCCTCCATCCATCTCACTACACTAGTGGGTGTGGATCTTTAGAGGTCTTCAACCTTGGAGACTAAAGGAGAACCAAGGAGCACTCATTCTAGCAAGGTGGAGGAAGCAAGGAGGGAGGCTAGGCTCAAGGAGTTCCAAGAACAAAGAGGTTGGAGGTGGTCAATCCTTGGTCTCAAGTCTAGATCAAGAGGTATAAAACTATACCTTCACTTTGTTCTTCAATAATTTCTTAGATGCATCATATATGAACCTATGCTTCTTGAAGGGGATTTGCATGACTATACTTTCATATTATGTGATAACATGCTTCCGTTGCTAATGTATATAAATTTTGAATTGTATATGCATGCTAATCACTAGAAATCCCACATAAATCTCATTATTTCCCTTCAGGGTGCCGACGCCCAGCGCATTTATCCACTCAAATGAACAGTAATAGATTCCAAAAAACAGTAATAGGTCAAAGCATCTCCACTCCTAAAAATGCGCTGGCACCCAGTCAATCTAATATATATTATTTTATTCATATCAATTAATATTTTATCATTTAATTTATTTCTCTCCTGCTTCCATTTCATCTCCGGCAGGGCACTTTCTCTCTACCCTCTCTTTTTTTCCCATTTTTCTCCATGTTTTCTTCTTCAAATGAGTTGATGCACCTGAAATGGACCTCCTCCCCCAAAAATGGGAGCTCGCAGTGGAGGTGCTCCACACCAATGGATGGGACCTCACCGGAGCTCCACACAAACGCTCGCAAGCACCTCGTTGTCGTCTCCTCACCGGAGCTCGCCATGGAGGTGCTCCACACCCAGGGAGTTGGATCTCGCCGTGGAGCTTCTCCACACCAATGCTCCTCGAAAAATGGACCTCCTCCTCCTGCGCATGACCCCGCTAGCGTTAGCATGAGTTAGATGTACCGGGCAACACCTCAGTCAATTTTGGATTGGGCTAGAGACCAGCTGGGGCTGGGTGCCAGTCAATTGGATCGGGTGGAGGGGTTTCATAGGGTGCTGGGCAGTTTTTCAGCTGGGTGCTGGGCAAAATGCCCTCCGCTGGAACTGCTCTAAGACAACGTCCAAACCTAAATTTTGTATGCCACCTTCTCATATTTGCTTGGATATTTACGACAGTAAAATTCTGAGGCAACAAACAACTTCACCTGAACATATTATTGAAATTTTGGCGGGGAATGACAGACAACGCATTTTTCAAAAACTCGTTCATCAACCGTTCTTACATCCGTTCTGAAGTAGTCTATCTAAACAACGAAATAAATCCACTAGAAACAAAATTCAAAGGGTATCAAAAGAAATCTCAAGACTTGTTTTAATTTCCTAACAAACAGAGATTACAAAACAGCATTTAACTCCAGGCATCTATCATAATCGGGAATGAATACAGACGATACTGAATGCCTGGAAAACCAACAGTGTCAATTTAGGAATAAGGAGACTGGTGACCGAAAAGTTTTCCTCAAGTAGCGATGCCGTTAATTCAACCGGTAAACTCCACCTTGGATGAGGTCAGAGACTCGAAGAACCAAAGTAACCCACTACAGACAACTGCACTCTAAGTGCAATACAAAGCACCGCGAATCTCAGGTCCCTGAAATTAAAATCATTGAAAAAACAAGAAATGGTGAAGTTTCACTCATAACTAAACATGCAAGGGTGTCAGCACAGAAAAAAAGAAAAGAATCGGATTCCCAGA